CACCGCCCCCCCCCCCCCGGTTTATGTGTAAACATCGGGGGCGGCGCCATCTACGGCCCGCAGTGACAGCGTGGGAAAATGGGGATCCGTACAGCTTGGAGTAGGTAAATGCTGCGCTCAAATCCCTGTCACTGACTGACAGTCTCATGTATTGCCTCAAAAAATTTTTACTCTTCTCCAGCCTGTGCCCACCTAAACTATCCCAACCACCTGTGCCCACCTAAACTATCTGAGCCTCACCTCAGGTTGACTATCCTCACCCACCTGAGGCCCACCTAAACTATTTTCAGAACGCAAGTGCTTGGACCTCAGCTGGCCGCCGAGTCGAGAGCGCCCCTCCTGTGCATGAGGGAACAGGACAAAGATAATTGTTCAGTGATGGACGGTATTTTTTGAGGAAAAAGGTGGCAACCCTCAGGGAAATGGCCTGTAGGAGCAGGCACATCACCAACAGGTAGTACACATGCATGCTCATAAACTGATTTTATATCTATGCTGGACGTTTTACAAACGCCTGCAATTGATTTATATCTATGCATGTGTTCCTAGGTGTCAGTACGTACACAGATTTAATCTATGCGTGTGGACTTTCTGGGTCAGTATCACGGTACTGATTTTTATCTATGCATGTTTCTGGTGTCAGTACGGTACTGATTTTACTATCTTCGTGTCGTGTGTTTCCTGTGGGCAAACGGTACTGATGTTTCGATAATACTAGCATGTGTTCCTCTGGGTCAGTACATTAGTCATTTTATATCTAATGCATGTGTTTTCTGGTGTCAGTACGGTACTGATTTTCCTCCGTGTGTTTTCTCTGGCCAGTGCACGGTAATCATTTTATATCTATGCAAATGTGTTTCTAGTGTCAGTACATTAGTCATTTTATCTGCATTGTTTAAAAAGTCAGCATCCATTTATAGATCTATCATGTGTCATGCAATCATGCAAGAGGCAGCCGGGGGTCCGAGACATGGTCATTTCCCTTTTATAGTATGTACGGAAATGATGTCATCGGAAGCCCCTCCCAAAATTTTACTTGCATTCCTGTTCTCTAAAGGGTGGTTCCTAGGGTTTGATGAAGATGTGCCTTTTGGGGCACGGAGCGTCACAGGCTGTCTGAGAAAAAAAGTGCTCCTGAGGCCTTTCGTGCTAAGGCACATCTTCAGCATCCCCTCTGAAGATGTGCCTTAGCACGAAAGGCCTCAGGAGGAAAACTGACAGCCTGTGACGCCTCTTTATCACCCAGACCACGAGGAGGTCTGGGTGCTTGCTTTTAAGGGTCAGTAACTTACTTTCTAATTTTTTATACATGTGTTCTCTGGCACATTGCCAGTGACATTACTGACCTAGGTTTTAAATGCTTTTATCAATAAATATTTGACATACTACACCATGAGTATTTTTCCACTCCTTACCCCCCACTGAGGGGTCGGCAGACACAGCTACATATCTTCCAGAGGAGGGATACCTGTACCTGGAAGGAACGTGTGCCGTGATTGATCCATGAGTCCAGCAGATCGATTGAGGACATCTCTCTCTGTGGGATATCGACATTCGTTTGATTGGATACACATAAACGCGCATTTCCTATGTGCGGTCGGTGAGTGTGCATTCTGGCCATTTCCCGTATCCGATTTCCAGCTGTGTTCATTAATTGCCTATTTGATCCTATGAACATTTATGTGTGTCTATAGATCGATTCTCGGTCAAACTTTTGAGGTCGAACTTCTTAACCTGTTATAAAGCGCTGCACTTTGTTTATTTTATTTATACCGAAGGTGGTTGTAAATATCATCAGTGCTATTAGCTGCTTACTTGATTATTCTATTAGTAGCGCTCACTTTATTGCATATTATCTCTTGCTAATATTGATCCTAGGACTCTCACACATTGGATATTTGTTGCCTTTGGTCTGGCAGACCTTCACACTGCTTGGACACAGCTTCTCTCACCTTGGTTTATGCAAGAGGAGGCATCCACCCAATATTTCAGTACAAAGGCCCACATGGCAACTGACTTCAATATCAGGGGATCTTCTGACCTCTGTGGAGTTTGTGGAATGCCTACTGTCTACCCCCAAAGCTTCTTGTGTCTTTCTGGAAACTGGAAAATTGCTGCCTTTTTTTCCTCAGCATGGTCATTTGTCAAGCCTGTTCCCTGCACTTCCTTTTTCCAAGGTGCTAGCCCCTGATCTTTCTGTTTTGATAGCAGGATATTGGGCAACTTTCTTCAGAAGGTATGGTTGACTCATGCTTGGTCAGCCAACATCCATTGTTCTTTGCAGACCTGAGATTTGGGAGGATCCTAAAACTCCCGAACTGAGCTATGAAACCATCTCAGGAGCCTGGTTACAACTTTTGTTCCTGTTTATGGTTTTTTGTCTTCCCCTGGACAAGCTCAAGGGGTCTTTGCTCCCACATTCTGACTTTGCTGTTTAGGACTAACCAACTCTGGATTTTGTGTGAGAGTCATGGATCTAATGGTATCATCTTCAAGGTAGTCCCATATCCTCATTTCTGCTTCAGACCATTGCCATTCACCATTCAAGCAGTGTGGGACATGGGGCTGCAATCTGTGCATTGTCCCATTCTCCTTTTCAAAGGGACCAGGCTTGTCCAGATATGGCAGAATCTCTTCTGCTTAATGTCTTGGTGGTGCACTTTACAAACATCAGTCCATTAAGGCTTGGGAGAAGTCCTAGGTGCTTTCTTGGTACAAAGGAGATGGCCGACAAAGAAAACGCATCTCTCCCAATGAATGTTCTAGATCAAAGAACATTTTGGTTATTCTGCCAAAGCTAGACCTCTCATCTGAGAGGTCATCTAATGTGGATTCTATTGGATTATGTAGTATTGGTGGTTTGCATCAAACAATAGGGGGTATGTATCACAAATTACAGGGGAGAGGATCTGCTTCTGACCTGGGTGGGAATTCCCACTTTGGCCCTGACTGCCGTGTCACTCTCCAGAATGGCAAATTGGTAGGCAAAATTTCTTCAGTCATCGTCATCAGGACTTTGGAGGCTGGTCCTTCTCCTGATGTGTTTAAAACTTTTTTCACAGATGGGGGAAGCCAGATATGGCCTGACTTAGCTTCAGTCATGAGGTTGCCTTATTGTTGCCATTGCTTCTGCATGGATGAATTCCACATTGGACAGGATTATGGCCTCTTATTGTCCTATAGCACTTTCTTCTTTATTCACCTTAACTAAAACTTTGTTCTGGCTTCTCTCTGTCCTGCTCTTGTTATATGGAGATGGAGCTCCTTGTGACCTGCTAGTTACATGGGCCTATTGGTGTTTGTTTTCTGTGTTGCCCACCTTTCAGTTGGACTGTTTAAGATGCCCTATGGTTAAACTAAATATTCTGTGTACAACTAAGGTAATACTAAGATAATAGCATTTTTGACTTACCAATAAAATCAATTTCAAAAGATAAATGTCCCCCCCCTCTCTTCTTTATGATCTCTCTTTCTACAAAACTGAAGATTGTTTTGAGTGGATGAGTTTTATAGGTTTTGTCCCTGTAGCTTTGTGTTTTGCCAATGTCACTTGAAGGTAGCTGCATATAACCCATGGTGAAAGACTAAATATCTTGTTTCCTGTATTGTACTCCAAGAAATGTATTTCACTGATGAATCAAAATTATTTTTTTCTGAAAATCTTAATAAGCCATGTTCTAGGTCCTGGAGCCTGGAGATGTTGTACAAATATTTGTTGGAATGAGTATCCATTTCTAAGTCCATGTCTTAGCTGGTATCCAGACGTTATTAGTTTCAGCTGTCAACAGGCCTTTTTATATGTGGGACAGCTGATGCTTAGGGTGCTCTCTCTTGCTGTCTCTGCAGTGGAAGACTGCTGCTGGGTGCAAAGAGTGATGACAGAAAATTAAATAGAAGAGCTGACTCTCATTTAGGAACCTATTAGGGGGATCCCTGTTAGTCAGGAGCTGCTGACCTTAGTTTAGTTATTGGCTTGGACAAGCAAATGTTTTGTTTGTTTTATACTAATGTAACACCCCTGAACCCTGGAGACAGGGTGGCTCACGTTTCACCTCCGGGTGCAGGTGGTGGGGCATTGTGGGATATGAACGGATGTAGAAAGATATGCATGAGTAACTTTTAGAATAAACAATAGAGTTTTTTATTGCTCACTCAATGAACTTTTAGGGAGAAAGGGGTAGGGGTTCAGGACACCCAGGACAGCAACTTGTAGACTCCTACAAAAATAGTAGTACAGAAAAAAGTCTTTAAGCTGATCCAGTGTTCTGCTCCTGTTTAGTAACAGCTGTCTCCTTTAGCAACCATGACTCACAATATACGCAGAAATAGACTGGACAAATCCATCTGGCCACTTTCCGAGACTCTCCACAGCTTCACTCTATGTCAGGGTAACCTCTAACACTTCCTCTCAGGTCCTTATCAGATCCTTCTGTGTCCTCTGACAGGCTGCAATTACAGAGCCTTGAGCAAATAGTCAGGCCTCAGGCTTCAGGTGTAGTCACACAGCTGCTTCACATACACCCACCCTAGGCTAGGGCCTGGGTAGAAGAGAGCGATCACTTGTCCTCCCTCAAATATTTATACTCTTGCTGGATGCACCAGTGACCAGGAAACTGCTACTAGTTGGCTAAGATAAGTATTTCTATTCATAAGCCACTTTTACATTAGCTCATCATACTAATACCAGAGGTACCAATGACACCCACTGGCAAAAGGCAAACGCTAAACTGGATTTAGGGGAAACTCAAATGATCAAATAGACTACGCATCAGCTGAATTACTTAGCACCCAGCCAACTAAATTTAACATGTCGCCCATGTTTAAGGCAAGGGGGCTACACTATGAACTTGCTGTACAAAAGTCCTCCTACACTGAATTAGTTTGTTTCCTTCCTTTCATTGAATAGATATGCTGGATTGTACATATACTGTGTGTGTTTGGTTTTAGAGGACTATATGATTGGGCCTGCATGCTTCTCATCTAAGGTCTTTCTTTTACAGCTCCCCACAGCTTGGAAGGATATGACTGTACCTCAGCACAGTGTGCATTGTTTTTGTGAGTATCCCCTCTCTGGGTGAGTACAACTGAGGAGTCCCCCCCCCCTTTTTTTTTCCTCCTACATCTGATTTCTTGTCTCTCAACCTCCCCCAAGTGGGGGCTAGATAACATACTGGCATAAATTATTTGAAATGGTATATCTATGCATGCATTTTTGTTACATATATGTGTTTTCTGTTCCCAGATCTTTAATGATATCTATCATTTATGAGTTTATTGCTCTATTTTTTTTTATGAATTGTGTACACTTCAGGATGTGTTAAAAGAAACATTTGACATGTGGTTTTGCATTTAACATGTATCTGTGTAGTTGGTTTTGATATACAGTATATATATATATATATATATATATAGCTAGGTCACCCTTGAGCACCCTTTTCTTTTTTTTTCTTTGATGTTTTGCTGTTTGTGGGTTGGTGACCCCCGATATAATTATATAAGTATATATTTAATCTCTGCTGTTACATCGGCCTCACTAGTTGCTAGTTACTGATTGCTATGATAGCCTATGATTGGCTATCACATTGATCAGTCACTGTACAGCCTGCCCCTGTATTGTCTTCTCCTCTTAAATGGAGAAAAATACATTGTATTATTTTCTCCTTGCTAGAGGAGAAAAGTGAAAACAAAGAAAAGTATGGATAAAAATGATAGAAAATATAACTAGGTCAAGTTTTAATCTATGCCAGTGTCAGGGTAGGGTTACGGTTAAAGGTTATGGTCAAAGTCTGAAGTTGGCAGTCAAAGGTCAGGATCAGTGTATTTTAGATTAAAACACCTTTCTTTTTTTTTTAAACAAAAATTGGTATCCGTGTCTGTTAGTGTTAATGTGTTTTAAGTAGGATAGTGTACACTATCATTTCTTGGACCTACCATTGGTACAAATAACAAATATACACATATGTGGTATTGCTGCGATTGTCAGAAGCAGGAGATTTTTGGGTTGTTTTTGGGTTGTTCTTTGGTGGAAGGTTAATAACAAGAAATATACAGCTAAAAATGATTTTTTAACTATTTTGTGCTAATTTTCCTTTGATAATAAAACAAATCAGAAGATATTCATTACCATTTATCTCCAAATGAAAGCCCAATTTGTCCTGAAAAAAATGGTATAAATCATTTAGATAGATTTAGTTGCGATGAGTATAACAATTTATGATTGTGGTTGTGCTGTTGAATTTGGGAGAAATTAAAATTATGGCTTTTCAATAGGCAAAGTACTCAGTGAGACCATTTATAGCCATCACTGAAACCTACCAATGAAATGAGGCCTTACTACAGTAAACTGCAAGATGATGTTTCTAAAAGTGACTCAGATGGTACCCTCAAAATATATAAAAAAAACAAATGTAAAATGTTGGAAAATGTGTATGTTCTCAGTTTTAATATGATACTATGTAATAAAGACTAAAAAAAGTGACATCGTCTCTTTAAGCATCAATTCCAGGTTTAGTTTTTACATGATTTTACCAGACAGTCTGATTTGGACTTTTTCAGTAATATTTTTCCAAAAATGTTCCTTTGCTATTCTCCTTTGAGTTTCATAAATATTTCAAATATACTCTATCAGCCACTAGTTGACTTTGAGGTACAATTTGACATGCATATCGTATGTCTAAATAATAATAAAACATCAAATGTTCTGCAATTTTTGACAAATGTTCAGCTCAAATATCATTTTCGGTGTGTGATGACAAATTTCCAGATTCCTATTTTCAAACTGTTGCTGATATATTATGTGAAAGGGATTACTAGCAGCTTGAGGGACATTCACTGAAATACTAATGTTAATCCTCACATCTTAATATACTGCACTGAAAATTTTAAATAGTCAGTAGTTGTTTTAGGAGACTATCCAAAGGTTAAAGTGATAAATCTGAAAATTATTGTCATAAATAATTCAAAGACCAGCTAGCTGAAACAGATGTTGCTTCTGGAAAATCCTAAAGATTTTGCTGAAGGCGTTTACATAAACCTTCTGTCTTGGATTGTGCAGGAAAATGCAGCAATGTGCTAGGCCCCATACACATAGGCATCAAAAAGGGGTGTCTGCATTTGCTCCTGATCCATTGAGCCACTGGTGTTGAAATGATGTGATTGACTGAGTAAAAAGTATTGAAACGTACTGGAGAGTAGGTTGGACAACAATGTTCATTTGGTAACATAACAGGCAAGGCATTAGTCTTCTGAACTTATGGGACAAAGCTTCTGCTCACCAAAATGTTAATATTGCCATAGAATTAAATGTATAAGCTGGCCTTACACTGATCAAGATTCAACCAGTTCAGCAGGCCAAACTTCGATCAGTGTGTGGTAATCTCTGTTTGTCAGTAGTCGACTTTGACTTCTGTCGAAGGAACACTTGAAAAAATGTTCTCGATTAATAGCTGCAGCCGCTGATCAGTGTATTCTGACAGTGGTATGTGCAGCTGTTAGATTGCAGTGTCACAATGGGGGGATTCCTTCATCCACTTTGTTTGTGTTGATGGAAGAACCTATTAGTTTTTTTTCCATTAAGCCCACTGGCTGAATGAAACATAAAATAACAGTGTGCTACCTATGTAAACCAGGAGAGCTGAGCTTATTCATATGTGGTTGGTTGAAATTTTTCCTAAATTCCATCTTTACAATGTCTACACTCCAAAAGGTCTTGGACTTTGCAAGTGGATCCTTTCCACGAATACCTTGTTCCCATTACAGTTACACTGACTTTGTCTTGTGACAATGCTGATCCCATTATTGAATGTTTTTCAAAAACTTTAATGCAGAACTTAAGGTAGATAAAAGAAGGTGTCTACTACCACTTATCAGGGATGACAGTCTCTGGGTGGAGTTCAACTTCAGAAGCAAACTACCACTGGAGTAACTTCCCACAAAACTTGAGGTTCTTCTATAGCAGTAATTCAATTCTATGTACCTTAAGAATGATTGTTTCAGAGATAAAGCCTCCAGACACACTGGCAGCAAAAGAACTAGACTCTCTAGGTTTGGATTCCAGCTCTGGGGTCTCACAAAAGGTTAACTTGGGGAAATACCTCTTCCCTAAGGCCTGACCTCTCCTGAAATGAGGGGACTGAAGACCCTTCCAGAACAGGGCTCATTTGTGTTTTGAGAACATTGTTCTTCCCTCTGATATCAAACTCTCCAGGGATTGACCAGCTCCTTGAGTGTATCAACCACCTCTGCCCAATATCTCTGGAGTTTAGGACACCACCACATAAGATGTATAAGAGTACCAGGGTTGCCACATCTAGCACAAGCTGGGTCAGGTTGCACACCTATAGTATGAGGAAATTCAGGGGTTCTATATACCCTATGAAGAATAAAAATTAGCATTAATCTATGCAATGGGAAAAGAGACACCAGTCATCAGTCCTTTATTCTCTGGCAAGCCTCGGACAGCGGGTGGTGGATGGATGGAATTTCTCCTTTAAAACCCTCTGCAGGACAGATGGAAAAATGTATAATCATGAATATGTGGAATAATGTGTGTTTCAGGATAGGGTCCTGTAACAATTTTTCTTGAAAATATTTCCATCAAATTGTATTTGGAATGAAATTGTGTTACAAATCTGGTGGAATTTTCTTCAGTTGAGGGACTTTAGGTTCTCTCAAGAGGATTTTTATAAATGGCAAAGGTATGATCAATGTGTTTAGCAGCATAACCTTTTTCACTAAATTTCTTAAGTAAAATTCTAATCTCGATCTAAATAGTCTGCATCTAATGTGCAATTTCTACGGAACCGATGAAATTGGCTTTTTGGGATGTTTTGTTTCCATCTGGGGTGATGGCAACTGCTGGAGTGCACATAAGAGTTCCCCAGTGGTCTTTTTGAAATTATTTTTGGTGATAATAATAGTATCCATAGAGCCTAACACCAAATCTGGGAAAATGAGCGTATGTTGGTCAAAAAATGATAATCCAAATGAGTTGTTATTACAATATTGGACAAATTCTGGAACCATGGTAGATGGACCATCCCAAATAATTATGATGTCATCAATATACCTTCCGTAAAAGATAACACTGCTGGAATGCAATTCACATTATGATCTTTATTCTATGGGCTAGAGTTCCACTTTATGTTTTTGTTTATATAGTTTCTATTTATTCTACATAGCTCCATCTAAACTGAGTGCACAGCACTGAGCACCAGTGTAACACCATGTGGTCTGGGCTGGTGCTCATGAAAACGTGCTGTGTTTTCTGAAGCGTGGAGGTGGCATTGACAATAATATCTTTGGGATTCCATCCTGGCATGGATTTGTTAGCATCCTATTTGCATGATAGAATTCTAACTCGTGGTTAGGAGATGCCTGGTATGAGATTTTGTAACAGCACGTTCACTGCCTGCTCAACATTGGTGATGGATTCTGGGAGTCTGGCTATGCGAACGTTATAGTGGCATTATCTGTTTTCCAGATCATCAATTTTAATCAAGAGCTTCATCCATTTTTTTATGGAGACCCCGTTTATGCTACCAGTGTCTTGGTTTGATTTGCTTTCCATAGTCTCCAAGAGAACTTAGATCTTTTACCCCTTAGTGATTTGGGGTAAAACAAATGTTAACGCCCGAACACAATTTTGCAACTAACGTGCATTAGTAAAACTGTACATATCATCATAACTACTTTGTGTATCCAGGTGGATTATACCTTGTTTTTTTCAGGAAAAATTAGGCTTTCTTTTGGTGGTAAATGGTAACGGATATCTCCTAATTTTTTTTTTATTGTGAAAGGAAAACTGGTCCAAAATAGTAAAACATTTTTTTAAAGTTTAGCTATATATTTCTTGCTATTACGATAGTGTACCACCAAAGAACAACCCAAAAAATAAATCTCTGCTTCTGACGATCACAGTGATACCACATATTTGTATGGTAAATGTTGTTGTTTGTACCCGTAGTAGGGCCCAGAAACATTTTGCCTTTTGTATCCTACCTAAAACACACTGACAATAACCATAGTTACATAGCTAGTCTGGCTGAAATAAGACAAAAGTCCCTCCAGTTCAAC